AATTATGTGTTATTGACCCCCCCCCATATCTCTCCATAAAGAGGACCTGTCACTAATTATGTCCTATTAACCCCATATCTCTCCATAAAGAGGACCTGTCACTAATTGTGTCCTATTGACCCCATATCTCTCCATAAAGAGGACCTGTCACTAATTATGTTTCATTGACCCCATATCTCTCCATAAAGAGGACCTGTCACTAATTATGTGTTATTGACCCCATATCTCTCCATAATGAGGACCTGTCACTAATTATGTCCTATTGACCCCATATCTCTCCATAAAGAGGACCTGACACAAATTATGTCCTATTGACCCCATATCTCTCCATAAAGAGGACCTGTCACTAATTATGTGTTATTGACCCCATATCTCTCCATAAAGAGGACCTGTCACTAATTATGTCTTATTGACCCCATATCTCTCCATAAAGAGGACCTGTCACTAATTATGTCCTATTGATTGACCTCATATCTCTCCATAAAGAGGACCTGTCACTAATTATGTCCTATTGACCCCATATCTCTCCATAAAGAGGACCTGTCACTAATTATGTGTCCTATTGACCCCATATCTCTCCATAAAGAGGACCTGTCACTAATTATGTGTTATTGACCCCATATCTCTCCATAAAGAGGACCTGTCACTAATTATGTCCTATTGACCCCATATCTCTCCATAAAGAGGACCTGTCACTAATTATGTCCTATTGACCCCATATCTCTCCATAAAGAGGACCTGTCACTAATTATGTCCTATTGACCCCATATCTCTCCATAAAGAGGACCTGTCACTAATTATGTCCTATTGACCCCATATCTCTCCATAAAGAGGACCTGTCACTAATTATGTGTTATTGACCCATATCTCTCCATAAAGAGGACCTGTCACTAATTATGTCCTATTAACCCCATATCTCTCCATAAAGATGACCTCTCACTAATTATGTCCTATTGACCCCATATCTCTCCATAAAGAGGACCTGTCACTAATTATGTTTCATTGACCCCATATCTCTCCATAAAGAGGACCTGTCACTAATTATGTGTTATTGACCCCATATCTCTCCATAAAGAGGACCTGTCACTAATTATGTGTTATTGACCCCATATCTCTCCATAAAGAGGACCTGTCACTAATTATGTCCTATTAACCCCATATCTCTCCATAAAGAGGACCTCTCACTAATTGTGTCCTATTGACCCCATATCTCTCCATAAAGAGGACCTGTCACTAATTATGTTTCATTGACCCCATATCTCTCCATAAAGAGGACCTGTCACTAATTATGTGTTATTGACCCCCCATATCTCTCCATAAAGAGGACCTGTCACTAATTATGTCCTATTGACCCCATATCTCTCCATAAAGAGGACCTGTCACTAATTATGTCCTATTGACCCCATATCTCTCCATAAAGAGGACCTGTCACTAATTATGTCCTATTGACCCCATATCTCTCCATAAAGAGGACCTGTCACTAATTATGTGTTATTGACCCCATATCTCTCCATAAAGAGGACCTGTCACTAATTATGTCTTATTGACCCCCCCCATATCTCTCCATAAAGAGGACCTGTCACTAATTATGTCTTATTGACCCCATATCTCTCCATAAAGAGGACCTGTCACTAATTATGTGTTATTGACCCCATATCTCTCCATAAAGAGGACCTGTCACTAATTATGTGTTATTGACCCCATATCTCTCCATAAAGAGGACCTGTCACTAATTATGTTTCATTGACCCCATATCTCTCCATAAAGAGGACCTGTCACTAATTATGTCCTATTGACCCCATATCTCTCCATAAAGAGGACCTGTCACTAATTATGTGTTATTGACCCCATATCTCTCCATAAAGAGGACCTGTCACTAATTATGTCTTATTGACCCCATATCTCTCCATAAAGAGGACCTGTCACTAATTATTTCTATCACAGGGGATGCATACATTTCTTATGATAAGAATAAAAGCGATTAAACTGTATTTAAAGGGACAGAAAAAAAAATTAAATAAATTTTTAAAAAAAGTTTAAATAAATAAAAAAAAAATGTTTAAAGTGCCCCCCCCCCCACACGTAGTGATGAACGCATACGTAGGCCATGCCCACATATGTAAATGATGTTCAAACCACACACGTGAGGTATCACCGCGAACATCAGAGCGAGAGAGCAATAATTCTCGCACTAGACCTCCTCTGTAACTTCACACTGCTAACCTGTAGAAATTTTAAAGGATCACCCATGGAGATTTTTAAGTACCGCAGTTTCACGCCATTTCACAAGCATGCTGCAATTTTAAGCGTGACATGTTGGGTATTTATTTACTCGCTGTAACATCCTCTTTCATATTTTACAAAAAAATTGGGGAATATATTGGTTTTTTTGGTTTTTTTTTTTTTTTTTTTTTTTAATCAAAGTATTTTTTTGCAAAAAAAAATATATATTAACTTTTAAAAACTGCACATTTCGGTTTTCAGCAAAGTGCATTTTGAATTTTCGGCACCAGAATTTTCATTTCGGTGCATCACTAGCTATCAGGTGTACAGTCAGGTCCATAAATATTGGGACATGGACACAATTCTAACATTTTTGGCTCTATACACCACCACAATGGATTTGAAATGAAACGAACAAGATGTGCTTTAACTGCAGACTGTCAGCTTTAATTTGAGGGTATTTACATCCAAATCAGGTGAACGGTGTAGGAATTACAACAGTTTGCATAGGTGCCTCCCACTTGTTAAGGGACCAAAAGTAATGGAACAGAATAATAATCATAAATCAAACTTTCACTTTTTAATACTTGGTTGCAAATCCTTTGCAGTCAATTACAGCCTGAAGTGTGGAACGCATAGACATCCCAGACGCTGGGTTTCATCCCTGGTGATGCTCTGCCAGGCCTTTACTGCAACTGTCTTCAGTTCCTGCTTGCTCTTGGGGCATTTTCCCTTCAGTTTTGTCTTCAGCAAGTGAAATGCTCAATCGGATTCAGGTCAGGTGATGGACTTGGCCATTGCATAACATTCCACTTACTTAAAAAAACTCTTTGGTTGCTTTTGCAGTCTGCTTTGGGTCATTGTCCATCTGCACTGTGAAGCGTCCAATGAGTTGTGATGCATTTGGCTGAATATGAGCAGATAATATTCCCGAAACACTTCAGAATTCATCCGGCTGCTTTCTGTCAGCAGTCACATCATCAATAAATACAAGAGAAGCAGTTCCATTGGCAGCCATACATGCCCACGCCATGACACTACCACCACCATGCTTCACTGATGAGGTGGTATGCGACGGATCATGAGCAGTTCCTTCTCCATACTCTTCTCTTCCCATCACTCTGGTACAAGTTGATGTCGGTCTCATCTGTCCATAGGATGTTGTTCCAGAACTGTGAAGGCTTTTTTACATGTCGTTTGGCAAACTCTAATCTGGCCTTCCTGTTTTGAGGCTCACCAATGGTTTCCATCTTGTGGTGAACCCTCTGTATTCACTCTGGTGAAGTCTTCTCTTGATTGGTGACTTTGACACACATACACCTACCTCCTGGAGAGTGTTCTTGATCCGGCCAACTGTTGTGAAGGGTGTTTTCTTCACCAGGGAAAGAATTCTAAGCTCATCCACCACAGTTGTGTTTTCCGTGGTCTTCCGGGTCTTTTGGTGTTGCTGAGCTCACCGGTGCGTTCCTTCTTTTTAAGAATGTTCCAAACAGTTGTTTTGGCCACCTAATGTTTTTGCTATCTCCCTGATGGGTTTGTTTTGTTTTTTCAGCCTAATGATGGCTTCACTGATAGTGACAGCTCTTTGGATCTCATCTTGAGAGTTGACAGCAACAGATTCCAAATGCAAATAGCACACTTGAAATGAACTCTGGACCTTTTATTTGCTCATTGTAATTGGGATAATGAGGGACTAACACACTCCTGGCCATGGAACAGCTGATAAGCCAATTGTCCCATTACTTTTGGTCCCATAACAAGTGGGAGGAACATATGCAAACTGTTGTAATTCCTACACCGTTCACCTGATTTGGATGTAAATACCCTCAAATTAAAGCTGACAGTCTGCAGTTAAAGCACATCTTGTTAGTTTCATTTCACATCCATTGTGGTGTATAGAGCCAAAAATGTTAGAATTGTGTCCATGTCCCAATATTTATTCACCTGACTGTATGTTATATTTTTGGATTGTTTTTTTGAGATGGGGTAGCGGCTGCGAATATAAATTCATCTGTGTTTGACTGACATAAGCACGGGTGGTTATTGGTATATTATTTAAAGCGGAGTTCCACTCACGCTGTCAAAAAATAACAGTCAGCAGCTACAAAAACTGTAGCTGCTGACTTTTAAAAAATAGCCACTTACCTGTCCCTCCGTCCCGTGGTGTGTCCCCCGCAGCCCGTTTCACCGGCCGTCCTGTGTTCCAGGAGGCCGACATCATCAGTGTGGGCACCCGGCTGTGACAACTTGCGGCTTCACAGCCAGGTACCCACTGCACATGCGCGAGTAGCGCTGCGCTTCCTGAATGGTCCTGTAGTCTTCTGAGACCTGTCACGTGTCCCAAAAGACTACAGAGAGGGAGAAAGGACACCTTCCTCTTCCGATCGCCTAGGTCAGGGGTAGGCAACCTGCGGCTCTCTAGCTGTTGTGGAACTACATTTCCCAGTAGGCATCGCAAAGATTACAAAACTGACAGTTACAGCTGTGACTTGCAGAGGCATGATGGAACTTGTAGTCCTGCGTTTCTCAGGTTGCCTACCCCTGGCCTAGGTGATTGGCCCAGAAGTGGGATCAGGTACCTGTCAAATTTGGGTACCTGCCCCCCGAAGGTGCCAATCCTTAATGGGGAGCGGGGGAGCAGTCCTTAAAGCGGAACTTCCCCTTTTGAGTGGAGCTCTGCTTTAATAAATGTTATATAAAAATTCTAAATTGCGATATTTATTATTGTTTTCTATAACGCCGATTTTTTTTTTTTTTCTTTTGCATTCCTTCCTCAGGTCATCATGAAATCTTGCACGGGGATCGATTATACAGAATTCTACACCTTCCTGAAGATGATAGCACAGCCCAGATTGGAAGTCCTGGAAACAGACGGCGTAGATATCCCCACCGAGGACCGAATGATCCCAGGGCCGCGCCACGCCCTGTTTGACCTGGAGAAGATCGCAGATGTATTGTCGACGATGATTGGTGATGCAGATTTTCAAAAGCTGGATGTAGAGGCGTTAAGTCCGCCTCCAGAACAATTCCTACACCGACTGAGAGCGGTGATCAGTCAGATGTCGTGTGCTGTCCCAAGTATTTAGGATTTGGTTGCAAATTATTTATTTATAAACGGGTCTATTATTTTATTATCTGTTGTGCTTTCTGTGATGTCATTCTATAGTTTTAATGGATTTCTGCTATCTAAGGGCCTGTTTGCTCAAGCAATGCTAGAAAATGCCTGACATTTAGGAGACAATGGGGGAGAATTACTAAAATTGCAGCACTCAGAATCAGGCACAGTTGTGCATGGTGGCCAATCAGCTTCCAACTTCAGCTTGTTCAATTAACCGCTTCCTCACCGCCCTATAGCAGATATACTGCTACAGGGCGGCAGGGGTATGCAAAATCACATATATATACGTGATCTTGCAATTCCGGGTAAGGGGCGCGCGCGCTCCCTACCCGTGCCACCATTCGCGGCCACAGCTGTCAATTACCGAGTCCCAGCCGGTAATTACCCGCCAGCGCCCGGTGATTACCGAGCATCTTCAACGCGGAGGAAGACTGTTTTGTTTACTAACAGTCTTCCTCCCTGTCAGCTCAGCACACTGCACAGCATAGCCATCCCGATCAGTGTGCTTACAGTGAAGCACACACCTCCCGCCCCTAGGAAAACACTCCCAGCACACAGTTAACCCTTTGATCGCCCCTCATATTAACCCCTTCATGCCCAGTGCCATAAGTACAGTCAGTGCTTTTTTTTTAGCACTGATCACTGTATTGGTGTCACTGGGAGTGTCAATGACACCAAGTCCCCCCCTCCCCCCAGTGTCAGAATGCCCGAAGTCCCGCTATAAGTCGGCAATCGCCACCATTACTAGTAGAACAAAAAAAAAAATCCCATTATCTAAACCGCCATTTGTAAACGCTATAACTTTCACGTAAACCAGTTTAGACGTATTGGGATTTTTTTTTTAGTAAAGACACGGAGCAGAATATATTTTGGTGTAAATTTATGACGAAATTTGATTTTTAAAACTTTTTACTGGACATGTTTAATAGCAAAAAAGTAAAAAATGTTTTTTTTTTTTTTTCAAAATTGTCTGTCTTTTTTTTTTATAGCGCAAAAATTAAAAAACGCACAGGCGATCAAATACCACCGAAAGAAAGCTCAATTCGTGGGAAAAAAGGACATCAATTTCATCTGGGTGCGGCGTTGCATGACCACGCAATTGTCAGTTAAAATAACGCAGCGCCGTAACGCAAAAAATGGTAGGGGGAAAAATCCTCTGGAGGGCGAGGGGTTAAGCTTTGGCAATAAAACCTGGAAGCTGATTTCTCTGCACAGTTGCACCAGATTTTGCACTCTGCAGCTTTAGTAAACCACAACTTATGTCATTTAACCCCTTAATGCCATCGCCTCCCAGCCCTTTAAGAGGTTTCTGATGCTAAGAGGTGGGGCGGGGTTTCTGATTATGTGACCACCGTGATTGGCTGTCACAGCAGTCACATGATCGGAAAGCTCCCGATCACAAGTTGAGATTGGGAACTTTTTTGCTAGCGTCGGGTAACTGTGTCGGGAGCGGACAGGGGGCGCGCTCTCGGGAACAGCTGTCTTTACATTTCGGTACACATATATATGGCCTCTTGGTGCTAAGGCCCACCCTCCGAGAAGCCGCATAATGTGTACTATCAGCGATAAGAGGTTACAGGATAAGTTCACCTTTTGGAGCATGTTATATATAGCCCCCATTTGTAGGGTGTAACATGGAACATGTTTCGGTAAAGCGTACCCCTTAACCCCGCCCCCCACAGTGGGTGGGGGGTTCCTCTCCCCTCAGCTACATTCACTTTTAAAATCGGTGCAGCTGTGTATGAATGGAGGACGTGGACCTTTCATTCATCTGTCTGTCCTCCATTCGTAGATTGCTTTTCATTCATGGAAGCTGTAGTACAGCTAGTGGTGCATCGAATTGAAAATTCTGGTGCCGAAACCAAAAACTCAGGATGCACTTGGCCAAAATTTAAACCAAAATGGACAGTTTTTAAATATTAATATATATATTTTTTTTAAAAATACACTTTAATGATTAAAAAAAAGCAATATATACGGCATTTCTTTGTAAAATATGATAGATGATGTTACGCCGAGTAAATAGATACCCAACATGTAACGCTTTAAAATTGCACACGCTCGTGGAATGGCATCTTTGACGGGAGTCACTTTGGGTGGGGAGCCCATGGAACACAGCTCACTTTGGAGAGGTGGGGAGACCCCTGTCTCAGCTCCCCATATCCCTCTTATGTGTAAGTCACCCTGTGCCTGTTAGGGGTACAGGGTGATCTGTCCTAATATTGGGGTGGGGGGTTGTGGATTGTTTGGTGTTGTGTGGTTGCATCCCGTTGTTCTATTGTGTGTCTGGCTTGGGAGCAAACTATTATGGGATGTATGTGTTTATGTGTATTGGCTTGGTGGGGGGGGGGTCTCCAGCAGCCCTCCCTCCTGATGGGACTGTCTGTTGGTGTGGTCTCTTGTTACTAAATGTAGATTGCCCCGCCCTGTGTCATTATGTAGGGAGGGGGGATTGTCCCTGAGTGTCTATATCTTGTATCTGTGTTCAGATAAACTAGTCTACCTCCTGGTTTACTTCAAGATTGGTGGTGTCTAGTCTTGTTTGGTCAGCTGTGGTGTCTGTTGTCGGTGTTCAGATGGGGAAGTGGTATTCTAACAGAAGTACTCAAGCGCAGTCTGGGGTCGGTTCCATTACAGCATCAAACTGCGGCACTTAAAAATCTCCATGGGTGATGCTTTAAAAATTTCTACAGGTTACCAGTGTAAAGTTACAGAGGAGGTCTAGTGCGAGAATTATTGCTCTTACTCCAACATACGTGGCCATACTTCACGTGTGAACTGGAAGTGACGTCGCTCCAGTCCTCCAAGGGCATAGAGATGAGTGGAGGCCATCTTCCCTTCACTTATATCTATGACCAGGTCCAGGATCGTTCATTGGTTTCTCAGGTAAGGCTGAGAACCACCGATCGCTGGTGGATGGAGGAGGCAGCAGAGGCAGGTGGGCAGCGGAGAGGGGTGGCAGCGGCGGGCGGGGTTTTTTTCAGCACCTGTATTGGTGCTTATTTTCATATTGGCCAAAGATCAATAGGGGTGTTTTTGGCCAAAACGTTTCGGCCACCAAAATTTTGGTGCATCCCTAAGTACAGCTGCTTTGAATGGAGGAGGGAAGTATAGTTGATGAATGCATGGCACAGGTCCAACTCTGATATTAATCCTCGCAGCACCAAATTCTGGCATGGTATGGGAAGGAGGCAGAGAACTTTGAACTTCCACAATGACTTAAGCATCGGGACAAGGGACACTTCACATGAGTACCATCCCTTGGGCTGTTGTTTTTTTTTTTTTTTTTTTTACTCTTTACCTAAATTTAGGCTTTAAGGCACAGGTGTCAAACACAAGGCCCGCGGTCCGTATCCGGCCCTCCAGGCCATTTCATGTGGCCCTTGCACCTCTCCTGCAGGTATCCCCCTGTCTCTACCCCCACCCTGTCTTAGCAGTCGGCAGCAGAGAGGAGAATAGAACTCCTCTGCCAAATCCTGCACTTCTCAGTGCAGCTGCAGCACCCCCTCATCTCTGCCTCCCCTGGTCGCAGCATTCTGCAGACTCTGGCAACTGACTCCACTCCTCCTCTGGTCCTCCTCCAGACCCTGCACTAACTGACTCCACTCCTCCTCTGGTCCTCCTCCAGACCCTGCTCTTTCTGCTTTCCAGCTCTGCTCCCAAAAGGGGTGCTGTTAGAGATGGTGTGGGGTTCTTGACATCTGATGCAATGGGGGTGGGGTGCTCTGGACATCTAGTCTTACAGATGCAACCGGCACTTTGAGGGCAACCATATTGCAGATACGGCCCGCCATGAAATGGAGTTTGACACCCCCGCTTTAAGGATATATGTTTTCCATATTGGAGAAAACTGGACCTTTCTTTAGAGATAAATTCCAGCTATGGATATTTTTGCATAGTTACATACTGTAGGTCCAGCTTGGATCGATGTCACTTTGTACATACAGTGAAGGAAATGTGTATTTGCTCCCCGGCTGATGCTGAATGTTCGCCCCCCCTCACACAGAAATGATCGGTCTAACAATGGAATGTTCGGTGTAACACTGAGAGACAGAATACAACAACAAATTCAGCAGAAATGCGTCTAACAAATGATGACTGATCTGCATGTTCATGAGGGAAATAAGGATTTGATCCCCTTCCCCTATACCGGGTGTCGGCAACCCGCGGCTCTTTTTCACCTTTGCTGCGGCTCCGGAGCACACTGCCCACCAGGTGACAGGCAATAGGGTTGCCGTAGCTCAGTGGTCGGCAAGCCGCGGCTATTTACACACTTCAATGCGGCTCTTCTGTGTGCCGGGCGCCCGCTCCCCTCCCTCCTCTCCGGCGGCCGCCCCAAAAGTCAGGACTCTGCAGCTAGCCCAGCAATGGGCAAACTACGGCCCGGCGGACCTTTTAATCCGGCCCGCAGAGCGTGGCAAACATTGGCTGTCAGGATGTAGGCGGGGCAGCGTGAGGAACTCCTCTCCTCTCACAGTCCGCCCTGAAGACCGGAACGGCGCGGGAACACGGCGAGAGGAACGCGCGGAGCAAAGGTAAGTGAATTGACACAGGGGGGACTTGGGGACTTACTATGGGGAATGAATTACTATAGGGGGGATGAATTACTATAGGGGGGATGAATTACTATGGGGGATGAATTACTATATGGGGGATGAATTACTATGGGGGATGAATTACTATGGGGGATGAATTACTATATGGGGGATGAATTACTATGGGGGATGAATTACTATATGAGGGATGAATTACTATATGGGGGATGAATTACTATGGGGGATGAATTACTATATGGGGGATGAATTACTATATGGGGGATGAATTACTATGGGGGATGAATTACTATGGGGGATGAATTACTATATGGGGGATGAATTACTATGGGGGATGAATTACTATAGGGGGGGTGAATTACTATAGGGGGGATGAATTACTATGGGGGATGAATTACTATAGGGGGGATGAATTACTATAGGGGGGATGAATTACTATGGGGGATGAATTACTATATGGGGGATGAATTACTATATGGGGGATGAATTACTATGGGGGATGAATTACTATATGGGGGATGAATTACTATATGGGGGATGAATTACTATGGGGGATGAATTACTATATGGGGGATGAATTACTATGGGGGATGAATTACTATGGGGGATGAATTACTATATGGGGGATGAATTACTATAGGGGGATGAATTACTATGGGGGATGAATTACTATATGGGGGATGAATTACTATATGGGGGATGAATTACTATGGGGGATGAATTACTATATGGGGGATGTATTTTCAGTTTTAAAAATGTGGCTCTCAAAATAAATTTCAATCGTGGTTTTGGCGAGATTTGGCTCAGTTGAAAAAAAAGGTTGCCCACCACTGACCTAAGGCTATGATTGTGATTATGACGATACACTGTGGCCCTGATTAACCCTTTGCTTACTGGGCCCTTAAACCCCCTTCATGACCAGAGCGCTTTTTGCAATATATGCAGTGTCGGATTTGTTTTTTTCCCTCTCGGAAACGGGTCCAAGTGGCTCTTTATGTCTTAAAGGTTGCAGACACCTGCCCTATCCAGTATCTCCCAGAAGTGAGCCCCTCCCCCTCACATTTCTGTAAATATTTGATTCTCTCTTTCCATGTGACAACACTGGAGAAATGACACTTTGCTGCAATGTGACGTGGTGAGGAAGCCGGTTTAGTCCAGGAGAGGAGCTGCTACAACTGTGCAAGGATGAAGGCAACTCTTTACTTTTCCAGCTGGACTCATCACAAGGGACATGCCGTCTTCACCATTCCACATATTGACACTTTGATAAACGGAATTGTTTATTAATAATCCTGTGAAAGATTTTATTGGCAGAGTACACAGTCAATATTTGCCGTTGTGCTTCCTTAGAGGGACCAACCCTGTGTGATATGAGGCAGACACAGCACTTTGTATGGTTTAGGGCAGCAGCCTCCAGACATTCTAAACAAACGGCCAATTGACTTTCCTTCAGACTTCAGAGGGGGGCGGACTGTGGCCAGTGGGAGTAGAAATGGTCCTGGTATCAGTGGGATTATTATTTATTTATTTATTTATTACATCGAGTTTATATAGCGCCAAAGGGTTTGCTCAGCGCTGTACAATAGAGGGGGGGACAATACATGAAACAGTACAGCAACAACAAACAGCACACAAGGGGTAAGAGGGCCCTACTCTTTCAAGCTTACAATCTAGGAGGGAGGGGGTAGTGGAACAATAGGAAGTGGCTGAGGGGAATGAAGTGGCTGTGGGGGATGGAGTGGTAGGAGGAATGAGGGAGGATGGCCGTTAGGAAAGGGGGGGGGTAGGCTTCCCTGAAGAGATGGGTTTTGAGGGAGCGCCTGAATGTGGGGAGGGAAGGCGACAGTCTGATGGATTGGGGCAGTGAGTTCCAGAGGATAGGGGAGGACCTGGAGAAGTCCTGCAGTCGTGCATGGGAGGAGGAGACCAGGGAGCAGGATAGAAGGAGGTCCTGTGAGGAGCGAAGGGTACGGGTAGGGTGGTACTTGGGGATCAGGTTGGTGAGGTAGTCAGGGGCAGTGTTGTGAACGGCTTTGTAGGTCAGAGTTAGGAGTTTAAATTTGATGCGTTGGGCAATCGGGAGCCAGTGGAGGGAGAGGCAGAGGGGGGTGGCAGAGGTGGAGCGGGTGGTGAGGTGGATGAGTCTAGCCCAGCAATGGGCAAACTACGGCCCGCGGGCCGTATACGGCCCGGCGGACCTTTTAATCCGGCCCGCGGAGCTAGGCTCCCGCAAGGCCAGTGGTCGGCAAGCCGCGGCTCTTTACAAATTTAGATGCGGCTCTCCTGTGTGCCGGGCGCCCGCTCCCCTCCCTCCTCTCCTCCTCTCCCCTCCCTCCTCTCCTCCTCTCCCCTCCTCTCTTCTCGGATGGCCGCCCCCCCTCTCGGATGGCCGCCCCCCTCCCTCCTCTCGGACGTCAGGACTCTGCAGCTGTCAGGATGTAGGCGGGGCAGCCAGGATGTAGGCGGGGCAGCGTGACGAACTCCTCTCACAGTCCTCCCTGAAGACCAGAACGGCGCGGGAATACGAGAGGAGCGCGCGGACCAAAGGTAAGTGAATTGACACAGGGGGGGGACTTACTATATGGGGGATGAATTACTATATGGGGGACTTACTATATGGGGAATGAATTACTATATGGAGGACTTACTATATGGGGAATGAATTACTATATGGGGACTTACTATATGGGGAATGAATTACTATATGGGGGACTTACTATATGGGGATGAATTACTATATGGGGGACTTACTATATGGGGAATGAATTACTATATGGGGGACTTACTATATGGGGGATGAATTACTATATGGGGGACTTACTATATGAATTACTATATGGGGGATGAATTAATATGGGGGATGAATTACTATGTGGGGGATGAATTACTATGTGGGGGATGAATTACTATGGGGGATGAATTACTATATGGGGGATGAATTAATATGGGGGATGAATTAATATGGGGGATGAATTACTATGTGGGGGATGAATTACTATGTGGGGGATGAATTACTATGGGGGATGAATTACTATATGGGGGATGAATTACTATGGGGGATGAATTACTATAGGGGGGATGAATTACTATGGGGGACGAATTACTATATGGGGGACGAATTACTATATGGGGGATGAATTACTATATGGGGGATGAATTACTATATGGGGGATGAATTACTATATGGGGGATGAATTACTATGGGGGATGAATTACTATATGGGGGATGAATTACTATATGGGGGATTAATTACTATGGGGGATTAATTACTATGCTTACTATGGGGGAATATTACTATACTTACTATGGATGACACATACACATCATTCATCTACTCTTGGTCCGGCCCCCGGGTCCAATATATGAACCCATTGCGGCCCTCAAGTCAAAAAGTTTGCCCACCCCTGGTCTAGCCGCTGAGTTCAGGATGGTCTGGAGCGGGGAGAGCCTGCACTTGGGTAGGCCGGTGAGAAGAGAATTACAGTAGTCAAGGCGTGAGATGATGAGGGAGTGTACTAGAAGTTTAGTGGTGTCTGGGGTAAGGAAGGTACGTATCTTGGCAATGTTGCGGAGATGGAGCCTGCATGTGTTTGCAAGTGATTTGACATGCGGTTGGAAGGAGAGGTTCGAGTCCAGAATGACGCCAAGGATTTTGGCTTGCGGGGCGGGAATGATAATGGGAGTTGGTGGTGGTGATGGATAGGCTGGGGGGGGGGGGGGGTTGGCAGGGGGAAAGACAAGGAGTTCGGTTTTGGAGAGGTTAAGTTTGAGGAAATGGAGCGACATCCAGTCTGAGATGTCGTTTAGGAGGTGAGTGATGCGGGCGGAGAATGTGGGAGTGAGGAGAGTGGTGGAGAGGTAGATTTGGGTGTTGTCAGCATAGAGGTGATAGTTGAAGCCATGGGAGTGTATGAGTTTGCCCAGGGAGGAGGTGTAGATGGAGAAGAGAAGGGCTCCAAGGACAGAGCCTTGGGGGACCCCAACAGAGAGGGGGAGGGAGGGGGAGGTGGTACCATTGTAGGTGACGCTGAAGGAGCGTCGGGATAGGTAGGATGAGAACCAGGAGAGAGCGGTATCTCTGATGCCAAGGGAGAGTAGTTTATTTAGGAGGAGGGGGTGGTCGACTGTGTCGAAGGCCGCAGAGAGGTCCAGGAGAAGGAGGACAGAGTAGTCGCCCTTGGCTTTGGCGTTTAGTAGGTCGTTAGTGATTTTGAGGAGGGCAGTTTCAGTGGAGTGTAGGGGACGGAAGCCGGACTGTAATGGGTCAAGGAGGTTATTGTCAATAAGGTGGGCGCTTAGGCGATCGTAGACTATGCGCTCAAGGAGCTTGGAGGTGAGTGGCAGCAGGGAGATGGGTCTGAGGTTGTTGGGGTCCCCGGGATCCAGGGAGGGCTTTTTGAGGATGGGGGTGATATGTGCGTGCTTTAGGGGGGAGGGGAATGCGCCAGTAGAGAGGGAGAGATTGAAGATGTGGGTGAGGGAACGATTAAACAATGCTTCTTTGGTATTGGGGGGAGGAAAAGCAAGATGTCATTGGTGTCAGTAGGAGGAATAGTGCCCCATCATTGGTGTCAGTGGGAGGAATAGTGTCCCATCATTGGTGTCAGTGGAGGAGGAATAGTGTCCCATCATTGGTGTCAGTGGGAGGAATAGTGCCCATCATTGGTGTCAGTGGGAGGAATAGTGCTCCATCATTGGTGTCAGTGGGAGGAATAGTGCCCCTCATCATTGGTGTCAGTGGGAGGAATAGTGCCCCATCATTGGTGTCAGTGGGAGGAATAGTGCCCCATCATTGGTGTCAGTGGGAGGAATAGTGCCCCATCATTGGTGTCAGTGGGAGGAATAGTGCCCCATCATTGGTGTCAGTGGGAGGAATAGTGCCCCATCATTGGTGTCAGTGGTAAGAATAGTGCCTCATCATTGGTGTCAGTGGGAGGAATAGTGCCCCATCATTGGTGTCAGTGGGAGGAATAGTGCCCCATCATTTGTGTCAGTGGGAATAATAGTGCCTCATCATTGGTGTCAGTGTGAGGAATAGTGCCTCATCATTGGTGTCAGTGGGAGGAATAGTGCCCCATCATTGGTGTCAGTGGGAATAATAGTGCCTCATCATTGGTGTCAGTGCGAGGAATAGTGCCCCATCATTGGTGTCAGTGGGAATAATAGTGCCTCATCATTGGTGACAGTGGGAGGAATAGTGTCTTATGCTTTGTAATAGTGGAAGCAATAGTGCTCCATCATTGGTGTCAGTGGGAGCAATAGTGCCTCATCATTGGTGTCAGTGGGAGGAACAGTGTCCTATGCTTGGTAATAGTGGAAGCATAGTGCTTCATCATTGGTGTCAGTGGGAGGAATAGTGCCTCATTATTGGTGTCAGTAGGAGGAATAGTGCCCCATTATTGGTGTCAGTGGGAGGAATAGTGCCTCATCATTGGTGTCAGTGGGAGGAATAGTGCCTCATCTTGGTATCAGTGGGAGGAATAGTGCCTCATCATTGGTGTCAGTGGGAGGAATAGTGCCCCATCATTGGTGTCAGTGGGAGGAATAGTGCCCCATCATTGGTGTCAGTGGGAGGAATAGTGTCCCATCATTGGTGTCAGTGGGAGGAATAGTGCCCCATCATTGGTATCAGTGGGAGGAATAGTGCCCCATCATTGGTGTCAGTGGGAGGAATAGTGCCCCATCATTGGTGTCAGTGGGAGGAATAGTGCCCCATCATTGGTGTCAGTGGGAGGAATAGTGCCCCATCATTGGTGTCAGTAGGAGGAATAGTGCCCTATCATTGGAGTCAATGGGAGGAATAGTGCCTCATCATTGGTGTCAGTGGGAGAAATAGTGCCCCATCATTGGTGTCAGTGGGAGGAATAGTGTCCTATACTTGGTAATAGTGGAAGCAATAGTGATCCATCATTGGTGTCAGTAGGAGGAATAGTGCCTCATCATTGGTGTCAGTGGGAGGAATAGTGCCTCATCATTGGTTTCAGTGGGAGGAATTGTGCCCCATCATTGGTGTCAGTGGGAGGAATAGTGTCCCATCATTGGTATCAGTGGGAGGAATAGTGTCCCATCATTGGTGTCAGTGGGAAGAATAGTACCCCCGTCATTGGTATCAGTGGGAGGAATAGTGCTCCGTCATTGGTGTCAGTGGGAGGAATAGTGCCTCATCATTGGTGTCAGTGAGAGGAATAGTGCCCCATCATTGGTGTCAGTGGAAGGAATAGTGCCCCATCATTAGTATCAGTGGGAGGAATAGTTCCCCATCATTGGTGTCAGTGGGAGGAATAGTGCCCCATCATTAGTATCAGTGGGAGGAATAGTTCCCCATCATTGGTATCAGTGGGAGGAATAGTTCCCCATCATTGGTGTCAGTGGGAGGAATAGTTCCCCATCATTGGTGTCAGTGGGAGGAATAGTGCCCCATCATTGGTGTCAGTGGGAGGAATAGTGCCCCCATCATTGGTGTCAGTGGGAGGAATAGTGCCCCATTATTGGTGTCAGTGGGAGGAATAGTTCCCCCATCATTGGTGTCAGTGGGAGGAATAGTGCCCCATCATTGGTGTCAGTGGGAGGAATAGTGCCCCATCATTGGTGTCAGTGGGAGGAATAGTGCCCCATCATTGGTATCAGTGGGAGGAATAGTGCCCCATCATTGGTGTCAGTGGGAGGAAATAGTGCCCCATCATTGGTGTCAGTGGGAGGAATAGTGCCCCATCATTGGTGTCAGTGGGAGGAATAGTGCCCATCATTGGTGTCATTGGTGTCAGTAGGAGGAATAGTGCCCCCCATCAGTGGTGCCCCATCAGTGTCAGTAGGAGGAATAGTGCCCCATCATTGGTGTCAGTGGGAGGAATAGTGCCCCATCATTGGTGTCAGTGGGAGGAATAGTGCCCCATCATTAGTGTCAGTGGGAGGAATAGTTCCCCATCATTGGTGTCAGTGGGAGGAATAGTTCCCCATCATTGGTGTCAGTGGGAGGAATAGGTGTCAGTGGGAGGAATAGTGCCCCCATTATTGGTGTCAGTAGCAGGAATGATGCCCCATTGCTGGTGTCAGTGGGAGATAGTGTGCCTTGTATCTGTGGGAAAGAAGTGCCCCAAGGGCCTGATAAAGGCGAGCAAAGGGCCGCAGTTTGGAGCCCACTGGTTTAGGGTCATGAAGTAGATTGAACAGCCGGCAGGGTGGGTAAGGGCGACCAATTATTATTACTTCAGGTACTTATATAGTTCCGTCAATTTCCGCAGCACTTTACATATAAACAGACATGGCCGAAAATCTTGCCCCCCCCCCCCCCACATTTCTGTCAGATAACGCACCACTTCACCCAGAAAATTGTTGCAATGACAAATGTTTCGGCGCTCTCATGTTTATTTCTTTGGTTTGTATCGGTGACACAAAAAATGGAGAAACAAAAAGCCAAATCTGACACATTCCACCCAAAACCCCAAAAATGGACTGGACAGAATTATTGGCACCCTCTGTAATATTTGGTAGCACACCCCTTGGAAAACATACCTGAAATCAATGGCTTCCTGTGACCATCAATGAGTTTCTTCCACCTCTCTACTGGAATTTTGGATCGCTCTTCTTTCACCAACTGCTCCAGGTCTCCCAGATTGGAAGGATTCCTTTCCCCAGCTGCTGGTCTGAGATCTCTTCACAGGAGCTCTATGGGATGGAGGTCTGGACTCATTGCTGGCCAGTTCAGTCCTCTCCAGCACTTTGTCTGACACCATCTCTGGGGGTTTTGTGACGTGTGCTTTGGGTCATTGTCCTTCTGGAAGACTCATGAACTCTGACATTGGAGACCCAACTTTCTGACATCGGGCCCTACATTGTACCCCAGAATTCTTTGGTAGTCTTCAGATTTCATAATGCCATGCACATGGTCAGGACATCCAGAGCTGTGACAGCATGAGGAAAGTGCTGCCGATAACCGGCATTGGACACAGCTGATCACGTGGTAAAAGGACGCTGTGATTGGCCTTTTGCCTCATCATGTGATCACAGATAGCGCTGGGTGTGCTCCTGCTGGGAGTGTACGGGAGGGCGTGTTCTGGGAGGACGTCACATGACACCCTCCCAGAACAGGACAACTGCGCTGTAATTGTCATTCAGCTATAGCGCGGTTGGCAAGTGGTTAATTCATTTTCTGAATTTGTTTCGGTTTCAAATTCGACTTGATCCGAATCCAATTCAACTGAATTCAGAAAATTGGAAATGACATTGGAATTTAAATTTATTCTATTCAAAATTCAAATTTCAGAAGACGGTTATATTCTTTCTATTTTGTTCTATTCTATGTTAATTGATTTTATTCTATTCCGTTCTCTTATTTTGTATTATATTCTTTTCTATTCTAATCTATTCGAATTTGAATTTATTCTATTTGAAATTCGAATTTTGGAAGTCCATTATATTCTTTCTATTTTATTTTTATATTCTTTCTATTTGATTTTATTCTGTTTGTTTTATTCTATTTTATTCTTTCTATTCTTTTCTAATCTATTCTATTCGAAATTCAAATTTCAGAATTCAGTAACAGTAATATTCTTTCTATTTTGCTCTATTCTATTTGTATTTTCTTTTCCTATTCTTTCTTATTCTTTTCTATTCTGTTATTTGCTTTTCTATTCTATTCTAATCTATTCTATTTGAATTCAAATTTATTCTATTTGAAATTGCATTTCGGAAGACAGGTATATTCTTTTCTATTTTACTCTATTCTGTTCTTCTTTCTATTCTATTTTATTTTATTATTTTCTCTTCTATTCTAATCTACAGTGTATTCTAATCTTTTTTGTTTAAAATATCTATTCTTTTTGTATTGAAATTTGATTTGAATTAGATTTTTGTCCGAATTTTCGTTTTGTTATTTCCGACAATTTTTTTACTATTGTAATTCAGAAATTTAGATACATCCGAATAACGAAAAATTTGTCCGAATTTTTCGATTCAAAATTAAATGGACCGCACATGTCTACATATGACAGGAGTTTGTCAGAGACCTGAAAGCATGCTATAGGAGTTATTGGAGATGGGGGGACTGGGGAAATCCCCCCAAAATCTTCAGGAGGCAGTCATAGACTAGAGACATGAGACTGTTAGAGGTCACTATTTTCTGAAATTAGAAAAATGACTTGTCCCACATTTATTATCTCTTTTAAACCCCTTCCAGTCCGGACACTTTCCCCCCCCCCCATTCCCATTCCGGACACTTTCCCACCCCCCTTCCAGTCCCCGGACACTTTCCCCCCCTCCCAGTCCAGACACTTTCATCCCTTCCAATCCAGACATTTTCCCCCCCTTCCCCTCCCAGACACTTCCCCCCCTTCCAGTCCGGACACTTTCCCTCCCCCTTCCAGTCCGGACACTTTCCCCCCTTCCAGTTCCGGGACACTTTCCTCCCCCTTTCCAGTCCGGACACTTTCCCCCCCTTCCAGTCCGGGCATTTTCCCCCCCTTCCAGTCCTAGGACACTTTCCCCCTTTCCAGTCCGGACACTTTCCCCCCCCCTTCCAGTCCGGACACTTTCCCCCCCCTTCCAGTCTGGATACTTTCATCCCCTTTCCAGTCCGGACACTTTCCCCCCTTCCAGTCCGGACACTTCCCCCCCCCCTTCCAGTCCGGACACTTTCTCCCCCCCCCTTCCAGTCCGGACACTTCCCCGCCTTTCCAGTCCGGACACTTTCCCCCCCTTCCAGTCGGACACTTTCCCCCCCTTCCAGTCCAGACACTTTCCCCCCCTTCCAGTCCGGACACTTTCACCCCCCTTCCAGTCCGGA